TTCCGGGGGGGCCTCGCGTGCACACGGGTCCCACCGCCGGCTCCAACCTCCCCTCAGAGCGACCGATGCCTTTTATTGCAACAGCCCTGCTCCAATGGGAGCAAGTGGGCATTTGATTCCTACCTCCACCCAACCCAAGCTGCTACAGGGAATGGGAAGCCGCCCGAAGGGAGGGTACCACCCCCCTCACAGGCTCCCGCTGTGCTCGCATCCCACCGCCTGGATGGGACCTGGGGGTGCACGCCCACAGCCGCCCCACCGCCTGGATGGGGCCCCCACCCTCCCCAGCTCTCCCGTCCCTGTGGACACGGGCCTGGGCCGTGAGGGGCCTGCGCCATCCTCAGTGGCCTGAAGTCCCCACACAGACAGGGGCCCCCCGCACATGGTGGTGTCATCGGCCGACCAGGGCCGGCAGTCCCCTGCGCTGGTCCTGGCCTGCGGGGCGCTGGGCAGCAAAGTGCCCAGGGAAGAGGACAGGCGATCGCTGCACACGGATGTGCAGGAGGCAGACAGGGAGCAGGAGCCGCCATCGCTCATCTCGTAGAAGCCTGGGCGGGGCAGACAGGAGGTCAGTGCAGGGCATGGGTGTGTGTGTGTATGGGTATGGGGTGTGTATATGTGTATGGGGTGTGTATATGTGTGTGGTATGTGTATGGGTGTGTGAGTGTATGTATATGTGTGTATATATGGGTATGGTATGTGTATGGGTGTGTGTGTATATATGTGTATGGTGTGTGTATATATGTGTGGTATGTGTATGGGTGTGTGAGTATATGTATAGGTGTGTGTATATATGGGTAGGCGTATATGTGTGTGGTGGTGTGTATGGGGATGTGTGAATATATGTGTATGCATACATACGTGTATACGCGAGGCACATATATACCATGCATGTGACACATATATGTAGATGTGCACGAGCGCGCATAGGTGCACACACATGTTTGTGTGTACAGGCACATGCACTTCTGTTGCCATGTGTGTTTATGTGTGCACACACATTTTACACACGCGTCTGTGCATACACACGTGTATGCATGTGTGCCTGCGCCTGTGTGTGGTGTGTGTATGTGTGCATGCATATGTGCAAATGTGCCTGCTTTCTGTGTGTGTCGTGTGTCTATGTGCACACACATGTGCCTATGCCTGTGTGTGGCGTGTACCTGAGCTGGGCCGACTGTCGCCGTCGGGGCCCTCGGTGGACGTCCTGCACATGTCGAGCTGCAGCTCACTGACCTGCTGGTCCAGTTGGTCCAAGTGGGTTTTCAGGCCGAGGTCCTGGCATCTCAGCCGGTTCTAGCACAGGAAATAGCACAGACTTTGGGACACCATGGCCGTGTCCATCACGGACACAGGTTAAGCCTGAGGCCCCCCGAGCCCCGCGCATCCTCACCCTGCAAGCAATCCGCCTGCTCACAGGAGAGGAAGGCCACTGACCCCCACCCCCCGTGGTTTCCTCCTGATCGTAGCCTTCTTATCAGCAATGGTCAACTGGACACTTTATACACACACACACATACACACACAGACACTCACACACTCACACAGATACATACATACACACAGACACACATAACACACAGACACACACATACACACTCATACACATACACACATACACCCACAGACACATACACAGACACACACACCCACAGACACACACAAACCCACAGACACACACACACTCACACACACATACTCACACACATTCACACACACAGACACACACACACAGACACACACCCCACTCACACCACACACACACACACACACACATATTTCAGAGAGAAAGGGGGAGGGAGAGACAGAAACATTAATGATGAGAGAGAATCACTGATTGGCTGCCTCCTGCACGCCCCGCACTGGGGATCGAGTCTGCACATGGCCATGTGCCCTGACCAGGAATCGAACCCGGGACTCTTCAGTCCACAGGATGACACTCTATCCACTGAGCCACACCACCCAGGGCTCAGACACAGAGTGACACCGCCTGTGAGTGAGATCAGGAGCCGACAGCACAGAAACGCCCAGTGGCAGGCACCGCACGCAGATTCCCACCTGCTGTTTAGTTCTTTGCACATATTGTACACACAGCACATTAAGTCACACACACACAGTGCACATGCGTGTATATTATATAACACACATGGTACACACGTGTATATTGCATCACACACAAAGCACACATGGGTGTATATATTATATAATATACATAGCACATGTGCATGTTATATGTGTAATACACAGGTGTTGATATTATATAATACATGTGGGCATGCTATATAATATACACGTGTACATTTTATAGAGCATACACTACATGCCTGTGGACAGTGCTCAAAATACATCCACACATGTTCGCATGCAAATGTGCATATTGCACAACACACATACACACGTGTATGATACATGCGACACGTCCATGTTATACACCACACGGCACATGCATGTGACGAGTGCTCATCATGCATGTACACACGTGCCACTGAGTGCAGGTGAACCACTTGCCCGACTGTTTAATAAACGCTGATTTCTTCTTTGGATGGTAAAACCTCGCTGTTTTCAGGGTCTGCTGCTTACATTTCTTGTTTTGATTAACAATTCATTTTAAGGAAAATAATTAACGAATGTAATTATGTGGTGCGTCCTGTTTAAGGAAATCATTAATTGTGTTTTGATTTTACCCAGGAAACGAGAAAATCCCGAGGCCAATCACGGCTCAGGAAATCGCTCCAGTGACTTCACTGCCCTGAGAACGCAGTGGTGCGAGGAGGCGGCCACGGGAGGAGCAGGCGCAACCATCGTGGACTCTCAGGGATCAGGCGGGCGCAGAGTCTGACAGCCCCCGGGCCAGGCCCACTGGACAGCTTCCCAGGAGTGGGGGTACCGGCACGAATGCAGATTCCCAGGCCCCCGCCACCCACGGGCCGGATCCCAGGCCATGCCTGCATGCTAGCAAACTGCCCAGGGACCACGAAGACGCTTCATGGCCACACACCACAAATGGCCTGAAAACGCCTCCCGGGGCCACCACTGGACACACCTGGGGCCCACCCTCCTCTGCAGGCCACTCACGGGGAGGGGACAGCTGCCCGGGCTTGGTCTGAGCCTGTCAGGTGCCCTGTGGGTGGGCCGCGTCACCCTCCCCCTGTCACCCTCTCCCTGTCCCTCAATCAGTAGCAAAGGCCGGGGCCCAGGTTAGCCTCCCGGGCGGCAGGCAGGAGCCGCCAGGGTCTGGCCGGCAGCCGCACCCTCACTGTGACCTTGAGCTCAGGCCTCCCCGGAGGGTCCAGAGGTCAGGCCCAGGGCCCCTGCACGCAGCTGGTCCCGCGCTGCGCCTGTGCAGCTGCTGGGACACTCGGGACGAGCCGGGACCAGCAGCCTCAACCCTGGGGAAATCTAGGGAACCTCTCGGGCAGGGCCGGCCGCCCCCACCTGCCTCCCGAGGGCACCCATCCTGCTGGGCGAGGAGCCTCCCGCCTCCTGGGCAGCCCAGTGTCTACATCCGCCTCCTCTGGGGCTGGCACATCTCCCTGAGGCGGAAGCAGGTGAGCACAGGGCTGCCCAGACAGCGTGGCTGCTTGGGTCAGAGGTCACGGGCTTCATCCACAGGGAGTGGCGAACCCTGCAATCTCCTCTCTGTGGCACATCAGGGTCGCTCACTGCCCAGTGCGCACTGACCACGCCGAGGGCACCCTCCCGTGACTTCGTGACTTCGGACCCAGCGTCTGGGTGAGTGTGGATGCGAAGGCAGCCTGTCAGCCAGGAAGCCCCGCAGGGTAAGGTGCTGCGGTCGGTCCACAACCCTCCTCCTGCCTTCACACCGGCTGGTGAGCCCGGCCGGGTGGGCGTGGCAGGGCGTGTGCGTGTGTGTGTGTGTGTGTGTGTGTGTGTGTGTGTACGCGCGTGCGCACACGCAGGGGTTAACTGGGAGTGACGGGTGCGGTGGCGGCCGGGACGGAGTCTGGCTGTACTCTGCACCCAGAGCGAGGACACTCCTGTTTGTCCCCGTGCTCGCGCTGAGCTGAGGTCACACATTCAGTCTTCTCTCCGGATCACGTAATCCGTGCTGAGAACAAAGTTCCAAGACAAAGTCTGCGTGTTCCTTCTGGCCCCCACATTAAAAAACTGAAACAAAAGAACCTGTTTGATCCTCGCCTCCAAAGGCTGCTGGTAATTAAAGGCTGGCGGCACCAGCTGATTTGTTACTGAACGTTAATCATCAACTGTGCGCCCCCCTCTCTCCCTCCCTCCGCCTCCCCCTCCCAGCACAGCTCAGGGCAGCCCTGCAGCACGGGGCACCCCCTATGCGGGCTGCTGTGTGCGCCCCGCGCTCACGGGTAAGGCACGCTG